AAAGTGACCTAACTTTCACGCCTCCACCAAAATCCTCATTAAAAAAAATGCTCTAATTCCTCTCTTTCATTGGAGCATCCCAAAAATTGTGAAACTTGGTGTTATCTAACTCGGTCTCACTTTGATTCTAAAAACAAGAGCCCACATCAAGGAGCTGAAAGAACAGCCTCCAAAATCCTGAAACATCACCCAACTAAAAGTGTCATAAGTCGTCCAACTAAGACCATATTCACAAATATTGGCACACAAAAAAATTCAGCCCCGAGTGCGAGTGTTGGCGATGGATATACAAGGGCCAAAGACCATTATTATCTTATATCAGTATACGTACAAGGATAAAAGAAGCAAGATCATTAATAATTACGAACAACGATAAATAGAGATCACCAATGAGTAAAGTGGTAAGAAAACATTTGTTAAGAAGTGTCTGAACAGAAAAGATTGGGCCTAGTTTGCTACACCAACACGCCACTTGCTTAAACAACTAGAGATAGTATAAACGAGATTCCAGTATTCAAATGTTGTCTCTACTATTTAAATTATGCAGTCATCTATTGCAGAGAATCTAGTTAATAAAATGAAGATTTCTATCACTGTAGTTTTTCTCCTTTTCTCGCTATTTCAAAGTCAGCTAATCCGAATACAGTTGAGAGAAGTTCGAGAATGTTAAGCTAATTGTGGTTCCCCTAGGTCAGATGACCTCTACAGAAAGATATCCTCGGTATACTCACGTGAACATGCTTTGATTAAAGAACTGTAAAGGAGTACTAACAAAACATCAAGAATTTGGTACGAGAAGCATATTCTCACCATAGGTTACTCAAATTTTAAATTATTAAGCCGAACTTAACTAATGCGCTTATGAACATTATCCGATGAGCTCCCAGACTATCTCGATCATGAAATCCAAAATGTGAAACAGCTAAAATGGAACATTGCACGAAACTGTACAGACCAGACTATCTCGATTATGAAATCCAAAATGTGAACAGCTAAAACAGCGAGTGAGAGAGGTGAAACAGTATAACATAACTAGCACCTACCAACTTTTGGATCGAAACTGTACCTTCAATGAAGAACCGGAAACGAGGACGACTCAAAAATTGTACTCCCTAATCGTAGAGCCTACTTTAAAAGAGGACCGAATGAGGCCGAGTATGGGCCTTAGATTTCAAACCCGAACGCGGACCAGAGCCCAAGCAAAATGCAGATTGGATCCGGGCCATCTGGCATCCTCTTTCTGTGTGGGTGTCTGCCATAATGTCAGGGGTCCACGTAGGTTACTGAGGTGGATTAATGAAGTAAATTTAGAGTTTACGTTACCGCGGAAGCGTAAGAAAATAATGAATAATGTGAGGACAAGGGGAATGGAGCGGGGGTGGGGGAACGGCCGTCTGAAAAAATGTCAGCCCCATTCCGGTGATAGAGATAAGGTAATGGGTTGACGCCACGTGTCAAAAGGAAGGTGGTGAAGGAAGCGATAAGGTTTCAAATCCAACTATGTGATCTTAAATCAAAGTTTTTTACCAGCTAAAATTACGACCACTAAATGGTTTGGTGTGTGGATAAAAGGGTGAGTAGTTAAGAGCTTATAAATACACCACCATTTCACAGTGCAAGGCCTCTCAGACTCAACAAGCTAGAGCTTTGAAGTACTCTACTACCTTAGTAATTTCCTCTAACCCCCCACAAGGAAAAGGAAAAGAGGCACCAATGGCTTCCTCCATCGTCTCATCCGCCGCTGTTGCCTCTGTGAACAGGGCCTCCCCTGCTCAAGCAAGCATGGTAGCCCCCTTCGTTGGCCTCAAATCCACCGCCGCCTTCCCTGTCACCCGCAAGAACAACGACATCACCACTCTCGCCAGCAATGGCTCAAGAGTAAAGTGCATGAAGGTATCACAATTTAACAACAACTCATTCCCCCTCATTAATTAATTACGGCTCATTATTAGTATTAATCCGTTTATTTTTTTTGTTGTTGTTAAAACAAAATCAAAGGTGTGGCCACCACTTGGATTGAAGAAGTTCGAGACTCTGTCTTACCTGCCTGATCTTTCGGATGCACAATTGTTGAAGGAAATTGGGTACCTTCTCCGCTCTGGCTGGGTTCCCTGCATCGAGTTCGAGTTGGAGGTCAGTAATGAATAAATGATTCAATGATTCAATGATTCAATGAAAAAGAAGAATGGAATTGCTGAATTGTGTTGTTGGTTTGAATGATGGTGTTTTGCAGAAGGGATTCGTGTACCGTGAGAACCACAGGTCACCAGGATACTACGATGGACGCTACTGGACCATGTGGAAGCTGCCCATGTTTGGGTGCACTGACCCCGCTCAGGTGGCTGCTGAGATCGAGGAGGCCAAGAAGGAATACCCCAACGCATTCATCAGGGTCATTGGCTTCGACAACGTCCGCCAAGTCCAGTGCATCAGTTTCATTGTCTACAAGCCTGCAACCTACTAAGTTCATCCCCGCTCCACGCTTTTGCTTCAGTTGGGTTTCATCAAATTTCTTTTTCCTTTTTGTTTTTTTTTTTTTTGCTTAATTTTCTTTTTAAGCTGTGTTTATTTCCCCCACTTTCCAACTCGATTTGGAATAAATGATGCTTTGATTTGTTGCTAAAACCCTTATCAATCCTATATGCATCTTTCTTTGCTTCTATCCTTGTGTTATTTTTACGCAAATTATGCACTCCTCCAATTATCTGGAATTCCAACTAAATCGCGATGCGAATTCAAAATTTTCAATTGGGTTTCTATTGACGACAACGATAAGGTTGGATAATTCTGAGCCACTCAACCCTTAGCTTCAATTTCATCGTGTTCCATCTTAAATCTCCATCAAACAAAAAGTGTTCGGGCCTTTGGTTCTTGAGAAATGAAGGCCGACAACCACTTTTCCACCGTTGGATGGTTCTCAATGGGCTTCTCAGCAAAATATCTGTGGCTGGCCCAGCTGAAAGTTGTTCTATAACTATCATGAAAGTTATCCTTCTTTTCATTTCTTTCCTGAAAAACTGGGAATGATTGATAATTTAGATGAGTTTTGAAGGGTTGCTTCCACTTGTGATGTTGGTTATTTCAATTTTCATTCTAAATATCTATGAATAAACCTGAGTCTTTTAGGGTCATCATAATGAATATATTTCTATAAACAAAAATTATACACAAATTCAACTATGTCCTCCAATAATATTAAACTGTAGCAACAAATGATTAAAAAAACACCAATAACTACTTGCCAAATGCCCTTGTCTTAAAAAGAGCAAGAACCCTTCACTCGTTTGAATGAAAATTCAATGGAATTCATAATTTAATTCAAACAAGAGCCGATAAGCGAAGGAAAGGTGACAAAAGAAGTAATCAAAGTAGAGATGTGAGATGACACTGAGCGATGTATACAATAAAAGTATAATTCTGGTAATCATATAAAAAAAGAAAAGAAAAGAGGACAAAACAATAATTACAAAATCAACTTAACAAAATTTAGATATTCAGCTTATGATATATATGTGATTACTGAGGATTTCTGTTTTCCTTTTCAAAAAACTAACTTTCAAGTGGACGAAAATGACACGATGGGAAGCGTCAACCTCTCTGTTTTAATCGGTAGGTTGGACCCTTTGGACCACACTTAGTGGCGTAGGTGGAGGGAATTTTTTTTAAACCAATCCAAAAATTTGACTCTTTCCATGGTTAATCTAACCCTACTCAACATTATTTTACAACCCAACTCTCTATTTTCGATTTTGATTGTGTTGAGACAACCGGCTAGTGAGTGTTCATAGCGGGCGGTGGGTGTGATTTGAAATTACATAGAAGAGGATACAGTCTACACTATACACATACACGTACACAGCAATGCAATGCAATGCAATCTTGGCCTGTATTTTTCATGTAAATGGAATTGGCATAGGCTTGGTGGGGTAAAAAATGAATGGGATGAATGATTAGGTATTGGGTAATGGGTTGGATTCAAGAAGAAAAAATGGGCTGTGTATATATTGTGTTGGGTTGGGTTGACTTGACCCAACCCTTTGCATACTGAACCCGAACCACGTCGGGTCTAAGAAAAATCTAACCCAATTCGAAATTCTATCTAATCCAACCGAACCCTTATAATTTAGGTTGGATAGTCAAATGTACATCCCTAACTACCGTTTATGAAAACTGTCGGAATTTCCACGGGCTGGGCGAGAATGGAGAGAATTGATGAACCAAACGGGTCCCTTTCCCATTTGTAGGCCGAGTATTGAGAGACAGACTTTGACATGCCCACCAACCCCATAAATTGGGCCATGACTCTTTGCCCATCATCTCACTCAGCAAACATTTGTTATTTTCTCATACTCCATTTTCTTCTGTACAGCGCATAACTCGATCCAGAAGATGGAATCAGGGGTCGCCCACCATGTGAGCGTCATTCATCCTCCTGCCTCGGTGGCCATAGCCATAGCTGCAGATCAGCTACACCCTCCTTATCCTTGCAACCATGGGTTTCTGCATCACGAGATATCACGCAGCGATGCATCGTGGGGCTTATCAAATATGTATGCAGTCTGCAGATAGATAGAATTGAAAATATTTTTAGCTATCAAATTAGTAACCCTTTTCAATCAGAGACCCTTTTGGGTGTCCTAGAAACCAGCGCTCTACTTTGGGGATTCCGTCGAACTTAATGAGCAGAAAGCGACATTTGATGCTCAATGTCATCACCACTTTTATCCTGTATCAAAGCAGTAGTAATTGTTTAAGAATTTCTGTAAACTTGACAAGCCCTGATATAAAAAAAGTCGGGAAGGAAAGTATCTTCCTTCCATCTATAAAATTGTCAGAATTCAGTAAGCAACACCCCAATAAAGAGGCAAGCTCTGCAACAAAGTCGCTTTGAACAGAGAGAGAAGAGGTTTATTCCACCAACAAAGTTGCTTTAGCTAAAGCAGAGAGAGAGGTCGGCGTTAGCGTGAAGATGCCCTGAAAAAGCAAAATGGATCCATCTGTAGCGTTATGCCTAAGCAAATTCACAATTCACAATCAGAAAATAAGCTCTACAATATTCACATCTTCATGATTTCTACACACTCCATTTCAAGTTCTGCAATATGTACAGATTGCCTCTCTCTCTCTCTCTCACTTCAATCTTCGAATGATCACAAAAATGAACTACAATGGAAGTTCCTCGACCTTGACACTTCTAATTACAAAAATATAGTACATGAGGTTGGCATCCACGCATAGTTTGCTCTCGACTTAACAAAAAGAAAAAGAAAAAGAAAAGAAAAGAAAAAAAGCCTTAACAGACACAGCTTTGGTATACATGGCATGTTTTTATTTACATTTACAAAGAACACTTACGACGTATTTACAAAAAGGAAAGGCAAATCGTATCCTTTTTTTCTCTGTCATGTATTCTATGGATTTGATAATGAGATGGGTTTCTACGCGAAGGCAGGGATGCTGCAATTTTGCCTATCCCTGTCGCGGCAATCGAAACCCTCAATCCTCACCGTTGGTTTGTTCCCAAAACTCGCCCTTACACGGCCTCCTTTCCTAGAGGCTGTAGACGGCGACAACTGACCCGACGGTGAGGCAATCGGTGCTAAGGGGATGAATTTTTCATCCCCAAATCGGGCGTCCTGAATCAATGGATTGGCTACTCTGCTCGGCGGAGACCCACATAAAAAAGGGGGCGACGAAGCCAACTGCGTAAACGACTGGTCCACGCTGCAACCACCCTATAAGATTAACGACATGATGGTTAACGACTTGTGATCCCTGGAAATGACTTTGATGCAGACAAAGGAAGCTACGAGGGCCACCTCTAAATTATATTAACTTTTCGATCTCAAGAAACTCAAAGGGAACAGATAGGAGCATACCCTTGTCAGGAGGAAGTCCAGCAGATCCGGTCCGGTGGCCATGTCAATTTGCTCTACTTGGTGACTGAAATTCAATTCAAGAAGAATTAGCACCTTCAACAAAAGGATGGTATTTCAAAGGGAGTCATAAAATAAAGAAAAGACTAACCTTAGATTCCATCGGAGGGAGCTATCGGCGTGGCCGATGACGGTGACTTTTGGATTGCTGAGTCGTCGTGGTTTAGGGCAAACGAGTTGATCTCTCAGGTCTGAAATGGGACCCGGAACAGGGTCTCTCATCTCCTCGTGGCTCGAGAAGGCGTTTGACAGAATTGCGCAGTGATTCATATTTTCCTTGGGTTATCTTATTTCAATGGACAAATAAAAAGCTGCAGAGAAGAGAAACAACCAAAGCATATTAATATAACTAAATCATGCTCCCGACATATGGCACCAAAGAAACGATGAAAGCGGAAATAAAAGGGGAAGAAAATTCAAAGTTTGATTTTGTCCCCTCAGCAGATCGGAATCTGTTCGGCAATTTCCCATATGATTAAAATATAAAAGTTAAAGAGAAGGGACAAAAATTAGCTCATTAGTTGGCACGATCCTTTATTTCACTGTCTTTTATTTTTTATTTATTTTTTTTAAACTATTAAATACTAAGACAACACGAACAGTTGTAATAGAAAATCTTGCGAATTCTAACCAACAAAAAAAAGAAATCAGGCGGAGAAAACAGAGGCGAAAAAAATCAATCAATCAAAACCTAAGCGAATTCAATATTTCAAAAAGCAAAACCACAAGCGACTTAATCAGTTAGCTAATCGCTGATACCTACAATTCCAGTTTGCTCTCTCAAAATCCCAATCGATTCATCCATCCTAGAGTTCAGAGTACAATTAAACAATCTCTAGACACCAAAAAGTTGTAAGGATTTCAGAAATCATCAGCAGAACCAAACCAGAGAAGCAATCAAACAACCAAAGGCAGATTTCCCAGACCTTACGATTCTTCAGTCATACAAGAGCCACAATTAAAAAAAAAAAATAACACAAGAGAACGAAAACTTGGAATGAAATCGTAGGGAAAACGAAGAATACCTGAAAATGAAGTAGCAGAAGAAGTTGGGGATGAAAGCTCCAAAAGTAAGCAGAGTATTATATACAAAAACGGAAGAAGAAAACAATGGATGTAGATGCCGTAAAGGGGGAAACTGATACGCACAGATACTGAAAAAGATTAAAAAGGAAAAAGGCGCGGTTTACAAAGGAAGAAGAGAAAGCAATCAGAACAGGAGCACAGAAATGGAAGAAAGATGAAGAGAGTAGAGAGATAAGGCGGATGAAGAAGAGGAGCAGAAAAAACCAGTAACGCTTCCCAATTCGGCCCGGGTCTTCGCTTCGGTATTTGCATTTATAATTTCTATTTCCTTTTTTTTTTTTTTTAATTTCGTATTTCTTAAGTAATTCGCTGTAGCTTTGGCGGTGCCGGTCATGCTACTGCCATGTCAGCACACAAATTTATTTTTGATTTTTAAATTAAATTAAATTAACTTATAAAAAAAAATAAGGAAACAAGTTCAAGCTTAGTATGAATTTGAATGTAAAAATGTAAATATCAAAAACATTTAATGGAGTGCGGGTCCCATCCTTCATTGAATCAAATCCGACGGTTGTACTCAATTGCCATATGAGCAACTTGATTCTTACACGTGTCGCTACTCATGAGGTTAGTCGGTAGATCTGATTCAACTCAATGAAGTCGTCACGTGTTTACACGCTTTTCTATGCAGCAAATGAGCCAACTAGTAACTGTATTATTTATGGACATCACTTTGTTACCTGGAAAGGACTTGTGGATGAGATTAAACAACAATAATATGATATAACAAAATTATTGTTTATATTCTATGTTGCTTACCCTAATAGTTTCCTCTCCGTCTCCAATAGATTAGACCAGTTGTTGTTATTGATTGGTCCAAATATTATTATCTCTATAAAATTTTAATTGGATTTGGTCAAATTATTATTAGAAGAAATTCTCAATAAGAGATATTTAATAGGATATCTATATTCTTCACCTACACGTTTGAGTTTTCCTGAGGTACGATTTTCTAATCATTCATTGGGAGACCAAAAATAGTATTTGTTAAGAATCAGACAAAGTCACCGGAGAGATTTAGATATCTAAGAATGAAAGATTGTTACATTTAGTTAATATAAAGATTATTACATTTAGTTAATATAAATACATTGATGACATCAAAGTAAGGAAGGATTGTTACGCAAAAACGTTTCTACATTGAGTCAAATATTCACACTCCCAAAATCAAAATATAATAATAATAAAATGAAAAATATCAAATTGACCATCTCATTGCAAATGTATTGATGGAAACCATTCACTTTGAATACAAGTTCTCATTGCTTTGTTTGGGCTTCCTCAAAAGGCCTCACACGAATGAAGATAGTTTTCCTCAGTTATAAACTCATGATCTTCCCCTAAATTAATCAATGTGGAACTTACCCTCGATAATCCTCAACAGAGATAACTATCAAACTTTTCAAATAATAATTGATATTTTTATCAAGTATTGAGNATTTTTAAATAGTTGAATTTCCACGTCATGGCGTAGATACCTAATAAACCGCAAGTGGACTCCACTATCCCGTCTCCCAAACACCACCCTTATTATTAGTTTTTTAATTTTAATTTATTTATTTTAAGGTTGCATTAATTTGTTATGTTTGAGGGTGCAAAATGTCTGCTCGTCCCTATCCATATTTTGTACCTATGTTTTATTTTGTTTAAGTTAAATTACAAAATAAATAATATTAGTAGAAATGTTGAGTCCCAAACAAAAAAATTGTGAACTTTAAAAAATGTAATTACATATGATCGTTAGACAATAAAATGTATTAGTTTTATTATTATTTTTTAATTATTAAAAAAAAAAAAAAAAAAAAAAAATTATAATTAAAAAAATAATATAATAAATAGAGCGGGTAAAACTTGATCTATATTTCCATATCAGCAGTATACTATCCTCAACATTAATAAACTACAATTTCCCTATAAAGGCGTGTAGAAAAGGCTTTCCCACTACCATATAAGGGATAGCCTAAGGATTTCTGTGGGTTTTGAAAGACAGTTTTGAGCTTGCTTTTCCGTTTAATATAAACTCTGCTTGTTTGGAAAGATCATCATTTTTGGCTCCTGGGTATTGGCTTTGACATCAAAATTCAAACCAAAGCTTGAGCGAGAGAGAGTAAAAGGCATGGAAAGAAAATCCAAATTTGATAGAATAATGGAGAAAACTAGAAAGGGCAACACCATGAGCTATGCAGCTTTTGGATCAGTTGTCACTTTCATACTTTCTAGACGCAAATGGGCATTATTGAATGGGAGGAAATGAGTCATCAACCAATATGTGATTAATAAACCACATGCCTTGCATCCAAAACAACACTGCACATTACTTATTGAAGCAAACAGTCATCAAACTCACCTAAGATTTCAAATTTGACTATTGCTATCCCCATCGCTCTACTGAAATTCCGTGCTTGACTTAAAATCAACTTAAAAGTTCAACAGTTGAGTGAAACGGATATGTACAAACTGATATGGATGATGTTTATTCAGATAAGCAGAAATAATTTAATGGGTCCTAGACTTTTACCGAAGTGGATGACATGATTGAGAATGATGGCAACGACTAAATTAACTGAATCATCCGTTCTTGATGTTCTCTTCTTCTCCCTAGTCAACTCGGATTCCACGCGCTATTTTTTAATGGTTATGGTAATTTAATATAAGTAAAAGAGAGCGTCAACATCTTCAGAGAGAAAATTTTGCACTTGAAAATCAATCATCAATTCAATCAGACAACTATGTGAAATTGGACTTAATGCCCACAAATTAGCTAAGGCCCAAAATTACTGAGGAGGAGATTTAACCTGGAATTTGTCACCAACCGCAATTTTGGAGTCAGTCAGCTTGTTCTGCAGCAGCTGCTGCAGCCCTTTTCTTTGCGAAGTATTCATCAGCCCGTGCGAGGTTCTTAGCCACTGATGGCTTAACCCACTTCTTTCGCCCAGGTAATACAGTAAGGGAACAGCCAACAGCTTCAAGCTTCTCTTTTGCTGCTGATGAAAAAGCCCGAGCTTTGATATTTAGCTTCACACTTAGCTCTCCATCAGCTAAAATCTGAAGGAAAGACGAAGTTAAGACAGTAAGAATCAGATACCAGAATCTTGATGAGTTAAGAAACATCTGTTTAAATCATTCAGTTTTGGTTTCACTTCTTGGAGTCGGAAAGAGCAGCATGTCAATTTTGATATACACTTTGTGTAATCTTCACAATGTAGATACTCGTGACATCAGTACCTTTAATGGGAGTTTCCTTTCTCTTCCTGATGGGTTGATCAAGCCCTTCTCCTTCAAACTTTCCAAAGAGACCTCTTCCCCTTCCTGAAATCCTGCCGCTTCAATGTCTTTCAGATTCACTGGCACATATTTAGGTAACCCAGCATGCATACCTTGCAAAGGAAAAGAAATTGTTCGGCTTAATATCATGAGTTCATACAAATGTAATACGAATTATATCATCTTGAAAGGAACCAGGAGAAGGACATCAGATTATAGAGTGACTGCTTTTCTCCGTTGTCCTATTCTCCTAAAATCTAACAAGGCCGAATGTCCTAGATCAAGGAATAAGGAACTACACAAATACGAGTACAATAAATACAAACAACTATTAGCAATCGCGATTTCTCCAGCAACCACCATGTACTAAGAAGGTTAAAAGAAATTAAGGGGTAAAGAGTGTGGCCAATGAATGGAAGTATTCAAGATAAGATAGAAAGGAGAATTTGAACTCTCCCTCAATGAAGCAACCACAACTACTAGCCCAATTAGCCATTGCGGACGCCTACCAGCCAGATTCTAGAGTTGTATAATTCAAATACAAAAGGGAAGTAGCAGAATGATAGAAATTACCTCCTGCAATTCCTCTAAGTTTGGGAATTCTCCGATAAAGAGGCATCTGTCCACCTTCGAATCCTTTTCTTACACCAGGCCCAGACCTTGATTTCTGTCCTCTCATTCCAAATCCACAGCTACCACCCTGTCCCGCCGATATACCTCTCCCCTTTCTCTTGCCCTTCTTCCTCGAACCTTGCTGTGGTCCAAGATTGTCCAGACGGAACCGCACACTCTCGACGGGAGAGGCAGACAAGGAAGACGCAGCGGCCTGGCTGCGAACAACCAATGGTTTTCCATCTCCCACCTTGAATTTGAGCTTGAGTGAAGAAAAGCTGAACTGCTTTGAGTTCAGAATCTTCACATTTCCCTGGAAATGTATGTGAATCAGAGTTCCGTGAATGATAAAAGAATCAACGCGCCAGAAAATTGAAATGAGATAACGTCAGGAATTAAAATTACCTTGAAGGAAGTGGTTGGATGAGGCAGAGCAATGGCTGTTCTGGTCAAGGAACTTGAAGATAAGGAAAGAAGAGCAGCCATGGATAAACTGGGAGTCGGTATTTACAATTGTCGTTCTGTTCCCCTTTTCTCCTTTTTCTCAATTCAACGATGCGGGCCTAATGGGCCTTCTTTATTTGCCACCACGATTGGGCCGGTTGGACATTTTTGGGCTGATCATTGATGGGCTTCTTCCCACTGTCGAAGAAGGGCGAGGACGGCTAATGAGACGGCGGGCTGTGGTGGTGATCGCTTGGACACTTTTTGTTAGCCGGCCCACATGCAGTTTGTAACCGAACCCAATTCCGACAAACCAGATAGGCCATTCGGACCAGAATTCAGATACCCGATTGTTTCCGGCCCAAGGATATCAGTTGAACTATTTATGTCGGTAGTTTTAGGAATTAATTTTATAATTTACTTTTATTATTTTTGGAAGGAAATTACACAGTTGGGGCAGAATTGATAAATTCTAAAACTAAAAGGGTAGCTACGAAAAATTCCCAATAATGTTCAATTTGCTTAGTGGGGCCTCAATAGACAGTGATACCATATTCCGGTGATTTTTCCGGTGTAGGGTAGAATTGATGGTTTGTTATGTTAATGAACTTTTCTACCTCTATCTACAATTAACCATTCATTAATTGATGTGATGTCGTGACGTGAAGGTGCAGTTGATTTCATACTTAATAATGGACTAATTAGGCATAAACATAGTTAAGCTCTCTCTATATGGATTTGGTGGTGGTGATAGAAACATCACAAGGGGTTAGTCATGATTAGACGCAAATGGCTCATTCTACCTTCTCTTCAAAATCGTATGATATTGTTCAATCAAAACTCCCACTCCCAATCAATCTCTATCCCATATTAACAGTTTTAAATTAACCTTTTAAAAATATCATCCCAAGTACTAATGGGTATGGCTAATAAATACAATTTTTTTAAAAAAAAATCATTTTTTATTCTTTTTTTAATTTGTTTTCCCAATCCCATCAGTTTAACCAGGTGTAGATGTCGGACGAGAAACATATAATATATAATATGGATTTATAATAATTATTGGGCTTAAATAAATAAATAAAAATTATTTACAGTCTCGTCTTCGTCCTTTTTTTTTTTTTTTTTTTTTTTTTTT